ACAATCTGTTTGAAATTTAATATTTAAATTTGTATGGTGTTGAATCAATGAAACTATTAAATATTTGGAAACATCAGGGCTCTACAATCGAAGTAGAATTCCAGATCCTGCATAATTGCTGAAATTATTTGAAATTTAATATTTCAGTTTTGGTTGTTACCGAAATTAACTGGCGAACTTTTCAGAAAAATCGAATAAGGCAAAGCGAAACTCTACTTAGACACAAATTTACTTTTTTCTTCAAAAATTAATTTGCTAAAACTTATTAAATCCCTTAAAATAGCAAAGGAGAGTTTAAAAGGCATTTTCATAAACTTCTATAACAATCATTGCGGTTGCTGCTGACATGTTTCTAGATTTCTGCATTTTGGTATGAAGGAATTTATTTTTGTGCTGATAGAATTTTTGATGATTTCATCTCTTACTGTATCTATTTTTAAGTCTCTGTGTAAGTTTTCATTTCACATACCACGGCCCGCCAACTATGCCACGTAGTACCTTGTTCTGGAACCTTTGTATTTTATCGATGTTTGTTGTTTTTGCACAACCTCATTCCGTATACCCATAATGGTTTTAACACTTGCTTATATACTAAAATTTTATTGAAGTTGATAATTCGGAATGTCGGCCCAACAGCCAATGTAGTTTTCATATTATTCTTTCCATCTTAGCTTTACCTCTAACGTCGTTCCTAAGTATTTAGCTTAATTTGAATAGAGTATTGTATTTCAACTAATTTGGATTGGTACTTGCCTTATCTATTTGTGAAGTTTATCTATTTTTGAAGTTCTGTATTTGTGAAGTTTACAAGTGTTGATTTTCATTTAATTTTATCCGCCACTTTTTTGCCCATTTCTCAACATCGTTTATGGGTTTTTGTAAATTATTTACTGTGACACTTGTATTTTTATTTGCAGAAAGGAGAGCAATGACATCAGCAAATGTTGCCATTAATATGTTTTCAGCTTGTGAGATGTCTATTGCGCAGATAAGATGCAATGTTGGTCCGAGAACACTTCCCTGCGGAACTCCAGCTGCAATTTGAGCGCACTCTAAATTTTCTGTCTGCTAAATATGATTTTAGTAGCTGACAATATTGGAAAGGTAGATTCGTATGTAGTTTGTATTCTAATCCTTCTATTCAAACTTTATCAAACGCTTGCGCAATATCTAGAAATACAGTGAAGCAAACTTGCTTTTTTTCTAGAGATTTTTCAATTCTATTTGTTATACGATGCATTTGTTGAATTGTGGAATGGCTGTCTCTGAATTCATGGCATTAAATTGGTGCGGTGGCATTAAATTTCGTTCTTGTATGACACTGCATAATCTTTTATGCATAATTTTTCAAAAATTTTGGATAGTATCGGCAAAAGTGATATAGGACGATATGATGTAATTGAAAGTTTCCCAGGTTTCAGTAATAGTATGACTTCTGCAATTTTTCACAGTTTGGGCATGTATTTAAGCTCAATTCAAGCATTAATAATTTTCTGATGCTTACTCAGTTACAGATGACAACTCTTTAATTATTTTACCTATAATTAGGTCATATACTGGTGATTTTTTTTTGAAATATTGCTTTTAGTACTTTTCCAAAAAATTTTGAAAAAAAGTGCTTATTAGTTTCACTCTGTCCGTCCGTCCGTCTGACCGTTCGTCCGTCCGTCCGCCCGTCCGTCTGTCCATGTGTCTGTTTACAAAACTTCTACACCATTGAAGATAGAAACCTGAAATTTTCATAGATATATGTTAATAGATCTTTACTAGAAACTAATTTTCGTAGAACATAATTTTTACCTATCTTCCCCCTCTAAAAGTAGTACCCCCCCAAAACCCTAAAAATGCCATTTTTCAACTATTTAATGTAGTAGAACTATATGCATTTTGCAAATTTTGCAAACGCAGAAAAGCAGTGGGTTGCTTCTTCTATCACGTGATACTATACTTGAACTTTAGAAAAACAAAATGGCCGTTAAAATTAACCGTTGTATAAAATCCGTGTTTTTCAAAATTTTTGATGTTGTTTTCCTTCTAAAACCCAGGTTGTGGGCGTCTGAAATTTTAGTAGCTTTTGGCACTAATAAATAGTACATTTCGTTAGAAGAATATTTATTTCCATCCCCTCCCCCTATTTTACAAATTTCAAGTTATCGCTTCTTGAAATTTGTAAAATTTGAATTTTTGACGCCTTATATTTCTGGAACCACAAGTTTTTCTAAATTTCTATAAACGCAAAAAGCTAAAGGTAAATTCCATAACATCAAAAAATATAATTATTTTTCTTAACTCACGCAATTAACACTTAAGATCGAGCATCTTAATCCCTCTTTAAATTAATTTTTACTTTGTTTCAAAGACTGCATAAATCGTTCATCCTAAATATATACAATATTAGAATTTCGTAAAGTTTATAAATCACTTCAACATTGGCACTATTTTCACCGATTTGGTTGGCATTGGTTTTCTTTTTGTGATGCGTGTACCATTTTCTAACTTTTCTGTGGTTCTTTCAACTAAATTTTATGCATTAATAATTTTAAAATTTTTCAGATCTTCGACTATGTTGTTTTTACTACATGTTTGTTTTTGTCTTCGTAAGTATGCCATTCGATTTTTAATTCGTTTAATTTAGCTGTAAGAGCTCTGTAGATATCGCTGTTTGGAACATATATTTTTCATTTTTTGTTTGGGAAAAAAGTATATTTATGTTGCCCTTTTGTGATTTGATGTATAATGCCTTTGATGCAATTAAATTCACTAATATTATATACGTTTATTGGTGGTGGTTGATGTGATTTTTGCTTAGATGTTTTAGATTCAGACTGAGCCGATTTCTCTGGTATTCTTGTATGTTCTTGATTTGTTGATTTTTCTGAATTTGATGTATGTGGTTTGTTTGTGTGTTGATTTTTCTGGATTTAATGTTTGTGGTATTTTGCTCATTTTGGCTTGTGAAGTTTTCTCTTCCTTTCGGATTATTTAATTTATCTTTATCTTTTGTACTTACTGGTACTAATTTACTTTTCTTGTGTTTTCTATGTGTTGAATGAGTAGTCCGTTCTGAACTTCTGGATTCAAAACCAGATAACTCTTCTCCTTCACTAATTGAAGAAAGTTTCGCTAATTCATTACTCAGTGCTAATTTTAAATTTCTAAATATTCATTCTCTTGTTTTAAAGAGTTTAAGACTTTGGCTCGCTTTTTTACTGAAGCCTCAATCTCCTGCAGTTTATTTTGCAATACTTGGTTTTCTTTTTTTAATTTTTCTTGCAATTTTTCACTTTTTAGGTTTTTGTGTTTTTCAAATTTTTATCCGTTGTTTTTTTCATCTTCTGAATTCGACATTGACGCATCTTATGTTGCAGCGCTCCACTCCGCTCGTTATGGTCTCTGTTGCGTCTTCTACGATGAATATAACACTTTTAATATTTTCAATTATGTTGATAGCTGCCAGCTAATTCTGGTATATAATTTTATTTATTTCAAAAAATTATAAAGTTTTAATAATTATAACCAACTTTCCGCTTAAATAATTTTTTCGATATTAAACCTAAAATATAAATTTAAAGGCAACACCGCTAGTGTCTACTCTCAACAAAGTGCCTAATAAGACTAGTAAAATTTAAATTTTTTTTTTAAATTTAAAATCTAAATATAAGTGTCTCTTATATTGTTAAAAATGCATATGTAATAAAAATATTGCACGTTATATTTAAGAATCCTTAATTTTGTCGTAAACCATAATTTCGCTTTAATTATTTCATAATTTTTAATTAATAGATTCAAAATATTTGTTTTGAATATTTAAGAGTTCTTAGACATATTTTCATTCATTGTTTTTGCTTTATTTTTAGGACTTTTAGTATTTTGAAAAATTAATACTCAGCACATTGCATGTTCGTTTTTTATTTCTGATTTCTATACAAATGTCATTATTCTATAACGTACAGTAATCCTCGGGTAATGTGTTAAAGTTAAAATTTAATCTTCTTTTTGGATTTTTCTGTCTAATTCTAAAAAATTTTTTCAAGAGAATAAACTTAAAATTTTTTATCATTTGCTGTTAAATTCAATATTTGAATGATAAAGCCTAATTAAAATAAAATCATTCGCAAGTTATAAAAATTTCAATTAAATTAAATTTAAAGAAAAACAACTCACTATTTAAAAATATAATTTTTTTAGTTCATCAATTAACCAGGATAATTTACATGTATTTTTGAATTGGAGTACAAAAATGTTAACGTTAAAAAGTGGAAAACGCAATTGAGGCTCATTTAAACAAAAAATAATTAAATTTATTTTAAATACTCATAAAAATTTGTTTTTCGCAGCACTGAAACTGGAAATGAGTTTAAGTATACATGGATAGAATGTTGTTTGATTGCATATAACAAGTACTTCCATTAGATTAATTGAAGTTTTTGACAATCAAACTTGAAAAATAATTTGATTCTTATTTACTATATGGTCAACTACGCTTAACCATTGACCTTAGTGTGCAAATATCTTGAATTAACGAATTATTCGTTTAGTTTGGAATGATTTAAATCGTTCCATCTCTGATTGTTTTGAGCATTATACAAATTTCAGTGCACTCTGATCGTGTTGAAAAATAAATATTTTTTTTATAAAATAGTTAATTTTTTTTTATAAATAGTTAAATAGAAAAATTTCAAAATATCCATTGTTTTTTTTTTTTTTTATATTACAAATATACATTCAAAATTGTTTTCATATAAATTTGTTTCACAGCATCAAATTTATATGAAGTTAAAAAATCTTTGAATAAGTTAAATAAATTTTTGTGCTTCATCTTTGCCATTTTCTTTTCTTATTTTAAACTTTTTATTTTTTGTCATATTTCTGTTTGTATTATTCGTGTTTTTAAATAGTTGCATTCATCTACTTCTTGTACACTATATTATTTTAAATTAAACAATTATTTAACAAATTTAAAGCTGCAATGACATTTTCATTTTTAATGAATTCAAAAGGTTCTGGCAATCGATAATGATTCTGGCGAAAATGGACGTGTGACGTATGCCATAAAATCTGGCAAAGGTAAAACAAAATTTCGAATTCATCCGGATACAGGTGTCATATATGCAGCGAAACCTTTTGAAGCAGATACTGAATATGATTTAGCCGTCAGAGCTGAGGATAATGGACAACCCAAACGTTCGCATACAACTCGTGTTAATGTTGTTGTTGTACCAATACCAGATATATCAGAACACGCACCAATAATTAAATCATCAGAACATGAAGTTGAAGTAACTGAAAGTGATCGACCAGGTTTTCTAGTGACTTTAATACAAGCGACAGATGAAGATAACGAGCAATTGTGGTATGATATAATAGGTAAGTTTAAATGCTGTACAAATCCAATAACAGAAAATATTTACTTCACTTTAAAAAATTAGTTAAAAAGTTTCATTAATTTGATTAGCTTCATCTGTAACTTACAATATAAAATCTTGCTGATATAGAAAGAATACTAGTAATAGTTCTAAGTTAATAAAACAAAATTTATCGTTTTAAAAAAATTACGACACGTGAAATTGGGTATTAAAACAATATCTTCAACCTTATTATTACACATAAATGAATAATTTTTAAACAATTTGTAAACTTTAAAGTTTAAAAACTCATTATCAAAATACTTGATTTTACTGTAGCGTTTAGTAATTTTACTTGCACGTGAAAAAATTACGAAAAAAGTTTACATGGTAGTCACATACACTAAAACAATCAAAAATACATTCATTTATAAAAATATTTTGTTCAATATCTTAAACGGCAGCGGCTTATTACAAAACATAAGAAAACTCAACAGCTGAATACAAATTACATTTAATTTTTCAAAAAGCTATATAAATTATAATATGTATTTAAGAAACTATATTTGTATGAGAATAGCATATATGCATATATTCATATATTTAAAAGCATGTTACATATTATGTAATCGTTAAAAAGTGTTAGTTCAATATTATGTAGGTACAAACTTTCAACGTACTAATATTCAATCTTCAGTTGAGCAACAAGCAAACATTGCAATTGTTTCCTCTTCTATCTAAAAGAAATTTTTCTACATTATATTTTTCACATTTTCAGAAGGAGATTCCCGTAATGAATTTTATATAGGGCGAGATAATGGGAATGTTTTGTTAGCTAAGTCACTTGATTGGGAAATTCAGAAGCATTATAATTTGACAATAAGTGTTACCGATGGTGTTCATGTTGTTAAAACTCAATTATATGTAAATGTTATAGATATAAATGATCATCGCCCTGAATTCACGCAATCCGTGTACAAAGTTGATATTTCAGAAAATATTGAAGAAGAATCTGAGATACTGCAATTGCATGCAACTGATATGGATGAAGATAAAAAAATTTTTTATACTTTACATGCAGCACGTAATCCCATTTCATTAACGTTATTCCGTATTGATAGTATAACAGGAAATGTAATTGTTACTCAACGTTTGGACCGGGAATTAATGTCAAATCATGTTTTAATTGTAATAGCAAAAGATCAGGGCACACCAGCAAAAAGAAATTATGCCAAAATTATTATAACTGTACATGATCACAATGACCATGCTCCAGAATTTAGTAGCAGAATTATTCAAGGAAAAGTTTATGAAACTGCTGCTTTAGGTACTAAAATAGTTCAATTGTTGGCAGTTGATCGAGATTTGGGAGAAAATGCTAAAATATTATATTCCATTGTAAGTGGTAATATTGGAAATGTTTTCGAAATTGATCCGGTGTTAGGGCATTTAACAGTTGCAAAAGAATTAGATATCAATTCCATGCCAGAATATATGTTACAAGTTAAAGCAACAGATGGTGGGAATCCTTCAATGTCATCACAAATTCCAGTACACATTGTTGTAACTATGGCCGATAATGATCCACCACGTTTTATTAATACTCAATTAGCTGCCGAAATATATGAAAATTTACCTATTGGAATGTTTGTAATACAAATTGAAGCACGTTCAACATCATCAGTTTTCTATGAAATCGCTGATGGTAATTCTGGTGACATGTTCCAAATAAATCCATCAACTGGTGTGATAACAACTAAAAACTATTTAGATTACGAAAAAAACAAGTAAGAGTTTAAACCAACTTTTTAATAAAAGAACAATAAAGTTGCACAACTTACTCATTAAAGTTTTTGACGATGTCAATAAAAACAATTTTTTTTTTAAAGAACTAAATATTGAAATTAGTCATTATTTCAGATTCTTTAACTTATCTGTTCGTGCTACAAACCTAGCATCAGTATCAGCTTTATGTTATGCCGTAGTTCATATACTTGATCAAAATGATAACGTACCGCATTTTATACAAAATCTTTATCGAGGTGAAATATCTGAGGCTGCACCTATAGCTTCACTTGTTCTAGCATTACCTTCATCATCAACAATGTCATCTTCTTTAAAATTACCCAACGAAGAAAAAATTCAAAGCATTTCGAATGGAAAAAAATTTGTAGATTCACAACAGTCAAGCGGCCTGTTATCATCACTGTCTTCGTCCCCATCAGTCATTCGAAATTCACTAGATTTCAAAAATATTGTTCCTCAGCAGTCTATGCTAAACAATAATATTTCGTCCAATAGAAGGTAAGATTTTAAATTTATATTCAAAATAATTTTACAAAACTTCTTTGTGTATAATTTTTAATTAAGGGTTGATAAAATATTTCAACGATAAAAATATAAAGTGCTACTTTAAGAGTAAACGTTATAAGACTTATTACCTCGGACGTTATCAAATTAAAACATTATGTTTCTCTTATTTGGACAAAGCTAAAAATTTCAAAATTTGAAATTCATTTTAATCTTTAAATTTTTAATTTTTTCATATTCATTATTTAAGCTGAATGCATTAGCTGAATGATATATGTATGTATCCATTCTTTTCATCAGAGGTTGCAACAGACTACTATTAAATAATGAATTAAGAAATGATTTTGAAATTACAAACACTGACATTAATATGACAATATAAAATGAAAACAAATTTTGAACGAATTTTTTAAAAATTTCATGTTTTTATTTTATTATTACAGTCCACTTGTTATAAAAGCATTTGATGCTGATTCTGGATTAAATGCACTTTTACATTACGATATTGTGGAAAGTTTACCGAAGCGTTATTTCCATATTGATTCTACTACAGGTGCTATAAAAACAGTGATGCTTTTAGATCATGAAAAGATTCCAATTTATGATTTTCACGTCAAAGTAAGTAACAAATTTTAAAACAATCTTTTTGACTTTATGTAATTATCTACTTCATATTATTCACTTTATGATTTAAATAGTCTAGTTGAAATTATCTAAGTCGACGAACTAGAATAATTTTTAGGAGGAATACAAGCAAGAGGCTCAATATAAATAATAAGACTGAATCATTTCAATTAAACATAGTAACAAATTAGTTCCTATATTTTTTCAAATATTTTCAGAATTGTTTTTAGATTTTTAATGACCACTTTTCAATTAATTCGTGCATACGAAAACTGATATTTTGATGACACGAATTTTGAGAAAAAGAAATTATGGAAAGGAATAAAATTATGTTAACTTATGCCATATTTTTCAAATAAGTTGAATGTGTGATAATCTCGGCCAAATTCGAATAATTTTGCTTTATACTGTTATTGATTTTTTTTGCATTAAAAATGTATGCTCTCTTAGGTTTTGACTTTATTGCTATTTGTTTGCTTGAATATTTTAAATTGTAACTTTTTTGAAAAAAAAAAATTCGCTTTTGTATTTCCTTAAAAGCGTTTTCTAATTTTTTTCATAGAGCAAACAAAAAATCATAATATATGAAAATTTATTACTTGGAAATATTCGACAAAATGGTTTTTCTTTTTCTGGTTATGTTAAAGAATCCAAAAACGTGTTCGAGATTTATTAACACAAAATATTATTATATACGACAAGGAAAACTTAGAATTAACAAATTATTAAAAAAAAATAAAAGAATTGCAATCATAAAAATTTAATACAGTGTGTATATGCGTAACATGTATCATGTGTAAATAGAATGTATATGAGTATACAAAAAGTTCGTTTAAAGCTTTACATTATAATTTTTTACTAAATACAAATGTGAAATACGTGTACACTTTTCTTACAATATTTATATATATACATATTTTTGTACATATAAGTTCTTGTAATACTTTGATTTTTATGATTTTTCTGTTATTGTAGGTGACAGATTTAGGTAAACCTCGCCTGTCATCAGATTTAACAGCTCGTGTTATTATCGTTGTGACGGATGTAAACGATTGTGCTCCAGTATTCGATAAGACTGAATATAATGTTACATTACTACTGCCAACATACCAAAATGTTGTATTACTTCAAGTGAATGCAACAGATCCAGATAGTTCAGAAAATTCAACATTGCGGTATGATATTATTGAAGGTAACACCGGTGGTGCATTTGCAATCGATTCAAAAAATGGAATAATCACAACAAGGTAAGCGAAAAAACGAACAAAAGTATTAAATAAAATTGTAAATTAAATGTAACAACAAACATATGTTTGTCGTTTATGTGCTGTAAATACGTATGTACTGTATGTACCACATCTCTTTTAGTTAAACAATTATGCAGTAAATATAGTTTTAGCTGCGTTTTTTATTTTTAGTTGAATTATGGTGTTCAATTCAACACAAAAATATTGAAAGTTTGAACTGCACTGCAATATATATATGTATGCATTTCCTTTTTTGTTACCGGGAGAAAGGGTGAAAAATCTCGAAAGACACGGCGAGACGAAAAGCCGTAGTGTGGAACTTTAATCCACTAAAAAACACCCTCCTCAAAATAAATTATAAAATTAGTCGGAAACGACTAACCATTAATTTTGGTCTAATTTTTTTGATTATTTACCAGTTTTTGATGTGGCACATTAGCGTACTAAGTACTCATTGTTGCAGAAAAAAACATTAACTACCAATCGAGCCGCCTCGATGTTTACATGATTGGATAAACGCATTTTATGATTGGCTGCTTGCTTTTTAATTTCGTCTGTGACACTCAGGATCGTGAGATACGTGAGATATCGGTATTACGGACATACCAGGGGGCGTTTACAATGTCTCGTAATACCTTATTTTGAAATATTTTAAAATGCACAGCGCAGCCCCATAACTGAATACCGTAAGCCCAGACAGGTTTAAATATTTGATTATATATCAAAACTTTGTTGTATATGTGCTCCTTCCATCTGAGCTTTGCGTCCAGTGTCATTCCCAAATACTACGCCGTGTTTGCGAACGGAATTAAGACACCATTTACCGGAACCGAAAATAAATTGTCAATTTTTCTATTAGTGAAATTCACGTGTACTGATTTAACCCCGTTAAGTTTTATATTCCACTTTCTAGTCCATTTTGAGATCTCATCACTGGCCCTTTATAATTTTTGTATAGATTCATTTTCAGCAAAAGTAGCTGTTGTCACTCCTTCCGATTCAGGAATATCACATGTGTATAACAAGTATCATATCGAGCCCAATATTCTCCCTTGTGGTATACCCGACCTGATATCCTTAAGCGAAGAGTACTCTTCCTTCAGTTTAACTCGAAATACCCTATTAGTCAGGTAAGACTCGAGCAACTTAACATACTGCCCCGCTAGTAATTGCCTAAGTTTTCTTATTAACATACAATGCCAAACCTTATCGAAGGTTTGGGCTACGTCCAAAAATATGATAGAACATATTGATTTTCCTTCCAGTGAATTTTCTATTAGGTCAGTTATTCGATGGATCTGATCTATGGTTGAGTTGTTCCAGCGAAAACCAAATTGATGCATCGCGATTAACTTTTTACTTTCAATTACTGGCTGAAGCCTTCTCAATAAAAGTTTCTCTAGCGGTTTTGAAATATTCGGCAACAATGATATTTATTATACTTATCTCTGCAACTTTGCAAATATCAAGCACGTAATTAAACTTTATACACGCATTTATTAAAATATCAGCCGTTCTGATTTCCTCTATAACATCTTTTTCCTTGACAATTGGAATAATCACGCTATCTTAAACAAAAGCAAAATCCTCATTTTCACGCATGCCCTGACTGTCATCCGGACAGAATATATCGATCTGCAAACGCATTTACTTTGTCTTTATCAGTTTTTGCCCACGTTCTATCTTTGTTTTTCTAAGGAGCGATATGTTTGATTAGTTGCTTCATTTTCTTTGCCGTTCTCCACAGTGAGCAATTGGTTTACTCACAAGCCGTCTAGCTTTATCAGTAGCATCATACGTTTGCTGCCACCTCTTTCTCGCCCCCTGCTTTGAGCTACTTTTTAGCACTTTTCCAAAAATTTTTTGAAAAAAAGTGCTTATTAGTTTCACTCTGTCCGTCCGTCCGTCCGTCCGTCCGTCCGACCGTCTGTCCGTCCGTCCGTCCGTCCGTCCGTCCGTCCGTCCGTCTGTCCGTGTGTCTGTTTACAAAACTTTCACACCCTTAAAGATAGAAAGCTGAAATTTTGTACGTACATAGATCTTTACTAGAAACTTATTTCCGTAGAACAAAATTTTCACCTATCTCCCCTCCTCTAGAAGTTATACCCCCCCAAAACCCTAAAAATGGCCTTTTTTAACTATTTGTTGCAATGAAACCATAAGCATTTTTGAAATTTTGCAAACGCAGAAAGGCAGCGGCTTGCTTCCCCTAGGGCGGTATACTATGGTTAAACTTTAGAAAAACAAAATGGCCGTTCAAATTTACCGTTATCTAAAGTCTTTTTTTTCCAAATTTTTGATGTCGTTTTTCTTCTAGACCAAAGCACGTAGAAGCTTGAAATTTTAGGGGCTTTTAGACATTAATAAATAGTTCATTTCATTAGAAAAAAATTTTTTTCCATCTCCACCCCCTCACAAGTTATCGCCTCTTGAAATTTGTAAAATTTGAATTTTTGACACCTTATATTTCCGAAACCGCAAGCTTTTCCAAATTTCTATAAACACAAAAAGCTAACGGTAAATTCCATGACATTAAAAAATATAATTATTTTTCTTAACTCACACAATTAACCTTTGAAATCGAGCATTATGTTAACCCCTTTTTATATTAATTTTTGCTTTACTTCAAAGACTGCATATATGCGTCATCCTAAATATATGCAATCTTAGCAATAGTTTAGTATATGAATGAAAATAATTTTAATAGTGTGATAGGTACACATAGACTGTATTTAAAAGCAGAATTTTTACTTATTGAAGGGAAAAGTGCTATAATACAAACCATTGGTTTGACCCAACTTTATTTTAGTATATGTGGAGGATAGCTAATGGCATCCCTTCTAATAGCATTAATTCTCGAACTACTCCAAGTCGCATTTTGAATAATTAGCACTTTTTCAAAAAAAAATTTGAAAAAAAGTGCTTATTAGTTTCACTCTGTCCGTCCGTCCGTCCGTCCGTCCGTCCGTCCGTCCGTCCGTCCGTCCGTCCGTCCGTCCGTCCGTCCGTCCGTCCGTCTGTCCGTGTGTCTGTTTACAAAACTTCTACACCCTTGAAGATAGAAAGCTGAAATTTTGTACGTATATAGATCTTTACTAGAAACTTATTTCCGTAGAACAAAATTTTTACCTATCTCCCCTCCTCTAGAAGTTATACCCCCCCAAAACCCTAAAAATGGCCTTTTTTAACTATTTGTTGCAATGAAACCATAAGCATTTTTGAAATTTTGCAAACGCAGAAAGGCAGCAGCTTGCTTCCCCTAGTGCGGTGTACTACAGTTAAACTTGAGAAAAACAAAATGGCCGTTCAAATTTACCGTTATCTAAAGTTTTTTTTTTCCAAATTTTTGATTTCGTTTTTCTTCTAGACCCCAGCTTGTAGAAGCTTAAAATTTTAGGGGCTTATAGACATTAACAAAGAGTTCATTTCGTTAGAAGAAAATTTTTTTCCATCTACACCCCCTCTCAAGTTATTGCCTCTTGAAATTTGTAAAATTTGAATTTTTGGTGCCTTATATTTCCGAAACCGCAAACGTTTTCAAATTTCTATAAACATAAAAAGCTAGCGGTAAATTCCATGACATTAAAAAATATAATTATTTTTCTTAACTCACACAATTAACCCTTAAAATCGAGCATTATGTTAACCCCTCTTTATATTAATTTTTGCTTTATTTCAAAGACTGCATGAATGCATCATCCTAAATATATGCAATCCTAGAAATAGTTAAATATGAATGAAAATAATTTTAATAGAGTGATACGTAGACTGTATTTAAAAGCAGAAGTTTCACTTGTTGAAGGGAAAAGTGCTACAATACAAACCATTGGTTTGACCCAACTTTATTTTAGTAAAATTTTCGGCCTCCTCATCTATCTGCTGGGTCGTTCTTATTCTTTTCCTTAGATCTATTTGTCGTTCAATCTGTACTTCCATTTGTCAGCCTAGGTTTCGCTCTTTTCATTACAATAATTTTCTTAAGTTTAAGAACTACCAAATGATCGGAGTTAAAGTCACAGTTATCATGTACCTCAATAAAGTGTTTTGCAATCCGTTTGAAGAAATCTATTAAATCTCGACACTTATTAACATCGGTTGGCCAATATGTTAGCTTCGCAGTAGAGTGAAAAGTATAGTCTAGTTGAAGTATGCCTTGAACCCCAATCAGTGTGCTTGGTGTTAAAGTCTCCCCAAAATAAATCTGTCGCCTATGTCGCCCAGAACGTTTTGAAACATTTCTGTCGTTATTTTAAATCTGGGTTGACAATATAATGCATCCACTCTAAATTTTTGCTTAGACGAAGTGATCTGAACCGCCTTCATTTGCATTCTCTCGGGTAGCATCTGGTTGAGATCACAATGCACTAACTTCCGCCCTTCGTCATATTTCCCGATTGGTTAGAGTTGTAAATTCTATAACCTCGAAACTGAATCCTGCTTTATAACGTTATATGTGTTTCAGTTAGGAGGCACACGTCTATATTCTACGTATGTAGAAAAATTTCAAGCATGTCCATTTTATTTGCAATACCATTGAAATTTCATGTTGCTATTTTAAAATGACCTCGTGACATCGTTTACCAGGTTTTTCGGTATTCAATTTTTTTCCGTCGCTCTCTAAAATGCTCAACCTCTGGGAGATTTTGTTCATCATATCTAGCATGTTTTGTATCATATTTTGCATTTTATACAAAACATTCACGTCACTAGCCCTTACTTTATTGCTCGTCTTGCTGTCATCAGTTTTCGTTTGGAGAACGTCCTTGTATGTTACACCTTTTGATACTATTCTCGAAGTGAATTGTCTCGGTAGGCGGTCAGAAGTCCTCTTCAAATTGTTGTTGTTGCTGCTATTCGTACGTTTTTGCAGTTCCTGAGCTACAAGGTATCCGCTATAGTTTGCTGGGTGGTTCTCCAAACAATTTTGATAATTTCCAAATAACTTTGCTGAAGTACTCCTTGCTTTACTACAATCTGCTACTGAAATATACAGTACTCTTTGCACAATTTGGTTTTCTGGCAAAATTTTTTCGAAGTGCCTCTATCCTAACTTTCATCCTGTTTATGTAATCGATTTCATAAATTTCTTTCATCTCCTCGTCATTTGAGAACGTTAACATTAACAACAGTAGAGGCACCATAATGTTTTTCCCATTTTCTTTTATTTTTTTAATTTTATTTGTTACATCTAAGATCTTGTAACCCCTAGAGCTTAAGTCTTCTTTTATATCTTCCGGTTTACAACTGGGGTTAAGATTTCTCACCATGATCCTTATTGGTTTTCATAGGTATGCCATTCTAGTCCAGATCCATTCATGCCCCTGGTAAGATTCCTGTAATCTATTTCGGAATTCACAATGAGCTTTAATTAATTGTTAATCATCATTTTAACCTTATAAATGATGTCCTTATTTTTTAATGTTGACTCTATTTCATTAGAGTCAACCACATTATTTATTACTACTGGAGGCGGCCTAGAATTTTTGGTGACATCACCTCGATTTTTAGAATCAGGAACATCCGCTTTCTCAGCATTGATCGTCACCTGGATCACTTCCGAAGATGATTTCGCTTTTCTTTTTTTACTGGACCTCTTTCACTTTATGATGCAATCTGTTTTTCTGGCGAGTTCTTCCTCATTTGTTGAGTAGGTGTCTAAGATTGACCTCACCTGCTTTGGTTGTAGTGTAACGTCTTTTTCTTTACGACTGCTCTCATTAGACTTATTGTTTGAAATTTACCTCGTTTTTCAAAGCCACACAGAACATGTCTTGTTGTCTAATCCTTTTATGTATGTCAGCATTCTGATCATCACTTTTTTGTCTTGAGTTTTACTCATGTTTATTTCCTTCTTGGTTTGTGGAGTTCGTGTGTTCGGTAGTCCACTTTCCATAGCTTTATTGTTTTATTTATTATTGATTTTAGAATCAGTATATAATATATAGGTGGTGAATTCCGGGTTTTAGCGTTCCTCCTGAACGGATAATTTAAATGCAATAAATGGCTCTCCCCAGAATACGTAGAGCCGACCTCCGAAGAGCGTGTATTCTCCAACGTAGTTAGATTACAATCTAGGGTACTAAATCTTTTTGTTTTCTCCATTGCGCAAATAATTCATGTTTGCATTTTATACCTTCTGCCAGGATTCAAAAAATGCTTACCTTCTGGGATATGAGAGTCGGATTTGTTGGCCAAACTGATGTGTTCAGAGGGCATTTCTTAGCATTTGCAGCTTCACATGTTAGGAAAATGTGAAACCGACTAGGACTCATGCCAACCTTTGTCGAGTATATTAATTTATATATTAATTATTAAATTATTATTATATAAATTAAAGCAATATATTAATTATTAATTTTATATAATCGTACAATATAATCTAAAAATATACTTTTAAATTTGTACAACTAGTTAAAATTTTAAAAAAGTTTTTCAGCTAAAAATAATTCGTAGTTTTAACAATTTCTAATTGTAGCAAATACAATTTAAATGAGTATCTGTTAACGTGAATATTACTAGAACAGAAAAAATCTCTAGACCCAAAAAAAAGTTTTAACCCAAAGTGTTTTTACTGAATGCCTATTACGTTAAAAATTTTCCAGCAAATTTTATCTTAAGTTTTGCCCTACTAGTATTTTTAGGTTAGAAAATTATTATCTTCATATTATAATTGAAATCTCTAAATAAACTATTTGTAAAAATTTGCGTTTATTTATTATATACTATGAACAGTACATATATTATGCTTATGAATCTTAACTAAAATACATATATTTGACAATTAAAAAAGTTAAACAATATCAATCTTAGACTTTGTATTTATTTTTAATAAATACAAAATTAGTACTTCAAATATATTTTATTTGCAACATATCATAATTTTTAATTGAATATTAAAGGACATAATGTATTACAAAATAGTGGGGAAAAGAAATAAATGAATTTAATAAAAAACTTATAAATTTATTTTTTGTCCTATTAGGTTATTCTTGTAATTATATACATAAGAAATGTAAAGTGTGTTTTGCATAACGTCTGAAATAGGCACAATGTATAAATGAACTTCGTAAAAAAATGGATTCTTTTAAAAATACTAATGAAATTATTTATTATGGCCACTGACAAGAAAATTAACAGTCTAATCGTATTCTCGCTTTTGCATCTCACTTTTTATTTAGTTTCAAAGCAGAATTCGCCGTCTTTCTAATGAATATTTCATTTTTCCAATAAGATTACTCATTATATATTACAAATATATTATACAAATATATGATTTCTTTTCATTTGGCGAGTAAAATAGCGAGATGTACGATCAGGCTTTAAATTGTTTTTCAACATCTTTTAATTTCAGAGATGTGGAACGAATGGAACCACTTTACAAATTACATGTTCGTGCATCTGATGGTAAATATTCAAAGGTTGTTAATGTTAACATAAAAGTTGACAATTCAGAAAATTCTGGTTTAAAATTTCAACGAAGTGTATATGAAGGTTCAATTAGCGAAAATTCAACAAAAATAACTGCTGTAACCGTTGTGAACGTCCTTGGTGCTGCACTAAATGAACATATAGAATTTCGTATATTAAATCCAACAGATATGTTTCGCATTGGTTTAACTTCTGGGGCTATTGAAACTACTGGGAAAGTTTTCGATCGTGAAGTTTGTGATAATTACGAATTAATTATCGAAGCACGTTCTAATACAAACAGACAACGTCAAAGACAAATAAACTATCAACACCATCAACAACAATATGATCAATTACAACAATTTCATAATAGCAATAGTAAATTAACAGGCATAAATCCAACTGTTTCGGGATCAACGCTTGCACAACATTCATTGAATGATGATGATTATGACGATGAAAAACCAAGAATAGCTCATGTCATTGTAAATGTTACAATATTAGACATTAATGATAATTGTCCAATGTTTGTTAATTTACCATATTATGCTGTTGTGTCTGTTGATGATCCTAAAGGATCTGTCATAACAAAAGTTCATGCGGTTGATTTAGACAGTTATGAGAATGGTGAAGTTCGTTATGAAATGAAACGTGGTCATGGTGAATTATTTAAAGTTGATCGAAAAACTGGTGAAGTGACATTAAAACAATCACTTGAGGGACACAATCGAGACTATGAGCTTTTAATTGCTGCATATGATGGTGCAATAACGCCGTGTTCAACAGACGTTTCAGTTCATGTTAAGGTAATGGTATTTGCAAATTATAATGATTTTATAATATTATATATATACATATATGCATATTATATGCATATACATATATATATATATATATATATAATAGTTATAAATGTAAATTTTTATTAATTTATGTGTTTCCTTTTATTAAACGCACTAATTTTTTTTTTAATCAGGTTGTAACACATTTTGCAATAATGTTCTTTAACATATTTTCTATATTTATAGGTTATTGACAAATCTATGCCTGTGTTTAATAAGCAATTTTATTCTGATACTGTTTATGAAAGTATCGAAATTTACTCTCCATTATCTGTTGCTATACAAGCAGATAGTCCTTTGGGAAGAAAATTAATTTACACCATCGTAAAGGGTAACGAAATGGAAGAATTTGCTGTCGATTTTAATACCGGTAAGCAATTACTTTTTTCCTTAATATCTCCCTTATAAAAATATACATACATATTATATACGTATCTTCAATTGTGTCTAAAAATATAATTGAAAATAAAAAAAATTAATTTTCTATTATAGAGAAAATTGACAATTAAAATTTCAATTTTTTCATCTTAATTTAAAAGTTATAAGCTTAATTAAAAGTTACAAGCTTTCATCTTTAAATGTAGTATGAGAAAATAAAAAAACAAAAAAAGGGATGTTAAAAACATTTATGGTTGTTTGCTATTTATAAGATGGGGGGAAAAATAATAAACTCTAATTAAAAAGTAAAGTAAATTGAATTTATAAAAGGATAAATTGGAAAAAAGCAGGTACGTGGTGTACTTGTAAATAGAAATAACTTGGTGAAAAGCTTATTAATAAATTAAAATTAATAGGATATTTTCACATTACATTGCTAGCGTGTTTGGAATTTTGTATGCTTATACTGTGATTTATTTGATACTGTGTAATTTTAAATCCATTGAATTTATTTAAAATAAAAATTATTCACAAAATTTAGTTTGTGATAATTATTTTAATTAGATAAACCATCCTTCAGCTTAATTAACCTCAAAACTTATTTTCGCTCGACTTTCAAATATTATTATTAATTCTTCATTTCAGAATAAAATTTATTTTATGATGTAGAAAAACATGAAAATCTTGTAAAATTTATTATAATATTAAAAAACTTGAAGTAAAATTTTAATATTATCTTGAATGTTGGAAAAAAATTAATTATGTAGCGTTTTTACTATCAATTTATAACTGATCGCGACAAAGACATCGATATTCCATGATATTTGGTTATTCTTTTGCATTTAATTTGAATTAAAATTTTCACGAATTGAAATTTGAACACGTTTGAACGACATTTTACAGGCATCAAAAAGAAAAATTTTAATAATAAGCTATTATATTTATGAACATACATTTTGACATTCAATTTTTTAAAAGAAAATCTGTTTTACAATTTTTACTTAATTATCAAATAACTGATATTATCAGCTCTTCTGCTCTTGTTGTTATAAATCTGTTGGATTTATAAAAAAAAAATATCATTAAAAAATTCATCCCAATTTAATTTTTAATTTTACACTCCAAAATATGTTTTGAGTTCGACTAGATTTGCTGTATTTTTTTTTGACGTTTTTATAAAAATGCAAAAAGGTTGTATACAAAAATAATTTTGATACATACATACATATATAAAATTATTTTCCGATTTTATGTTATTTAATTCTCATAATTACCTTCGAGATTTCCTGTAATAACTCAGGTAAAGTTATGTTATAAGGTGTATGTTTTTTCCTTTCTCATGTAGTGAATTTAATTACAATTAAAAATTTCCTTTTTTAACAAAAACTTTTCTAATAATAGTTCTCAATTAAACAAAATTACATAATATGTACTATATAATATGTATATGTAGTTTATACGAGTACAGTATTTAAAAAAAATGCAAAGGATTCAAAGGAGCAAGCCTAATTCATTTTTAAGAGTTTCATATTATACAGATAAATATAATAAAAGAATATTAGGTTCGTTATATATATATAATATATTATGTATATATATAATATAAACACGCATGTGATTTCTGTAAATGGAAAATTTAAACAACATAACCATATATGTATGTATGTTAAAACACAGTTTAGTTTTCGAAAATTAATAAAAGAGCGAACGTATACTAAATACACATTAACTCAAAATTTGTAAGTACATGATTATATACATTTATTTCCCTATTATATGTCTATATACAGGTATATGATATACATACACATCACATATCTATGATTGTTGCAACCGTACTTACAACATATACATATATGGGTATTTGTTAATATTAATGAGCAATTTAAAAATGTTATTTGAAATTTAATGACTCTGATTGAGGAAACTTGAAAAAATTACTGTTTAATATGGTAAAATCTTGATTAAATTCAAATTCAACTTACAAATATTGTAAATATTTTATCTAATATATGTATATACATGTATACATATAACGTATAGACTTTGTTAAAATTATTTATTAAAAAATTGTAAAGAAACAAAAATCATAAATGCTAATAGTTTCCGCAAGAAGAGAAACAAAATTTAAATTAAAGACGTTAACGGGTAAGTGTGGTAGTTGTTGAAAGAAAGCAAGCGATAAAAATGGAAAAGGGGATTTTCTTTAAAGGAATTTTCTTCGATTTTTCATTCGAAACTTTGAGAAATTGTAAAGTGGTTTCAAATAAAATTACAGTGAAGTAATTACTATTTAACGTACTATTTCGGCTGGTATAATATGAATACATGCGGATTAAAAATCATCTCACAATTTAAATACAATTCAATTCAAGAAATCAAAGAGTTGTTAACTTCACTCTCATTTTAATTTAATAATATTAGTCAATTCACTTAGAAAAATTTTTGATGATTGGGTTCTAGTAATGTCTTTATATCTAACAAGTCCCAATGCTCAGAGAGAAACTTGAAAGCACGACCTTATTTTATATGGGTTTTTTTAAATCGAAGTGGCTATTTTTTGAGAAGAAATATTAAAATAAATTTACACTTATTATAAAGCAGGTAAAATTTTAGAAATATATTTGAAAAATCAAGAAAATATATTAATATTTTCATTCAGAATTATTTTAAAATTCTTAAAATAGCGGAAAAACAACAAGCACAACCTTCGCCTTCAACGTTTTATATGTTACTGAAAGCATTTCATTATTTTTAAGTGAACACCTTTTTTTTCTCATAGGGTAAGTTAACTCAAGATATGGGAACTAACTTTGGTGTCAAGTTGAAAATATAATTAATGAAAGATAATTATTGAATATTGATATAAGTACATAGTAAAGAAAAAATTTGAAGGGGGAATTAGAAAATAATATCTAAATTCAATCAAATATTTTTTTTTAAATACAAATTTTATATACACTTCTAAATTTTGCCTCTATTTTTATTTGAAAAATTTGAAATAAATGCAGGGACATTTTATAAATAGATTTGCTCTTGTTTACCTGCTAATAAAATATGAAAAAAGAGCACAGCAACATTTTTGAAGCCCTCAATATAACATATTTGAAATAGTTTTAAAATAATTATTTAAAAAAAAAATTATTGAAAGTAGGTACATACATATTTATTTTTAATAACTTAAAAACTAACTGAAATTATTTGAAACAATTTTATAAGTAACGTATAAATAACCGAAATGAGATAATTCAAATTGTTGGAATGTGTCAACCTATATCACTTTTAAAAACATTTTTGTTAGCCGACACTACTCAATTTACCTTATTGGGAAATACAAAATGTGCATAAAAAATCATACATCCTCCCTCTTTAACATTTGAAACCATATTGAAATATGAATTTGAATTTTTTTTTCATTTTTTCTTTCCTCCTACCTTTCTGTCTTTTTCGTGCAATAGAATTTAAATGGGAAGCTTTTTAAAAAATGTGTATAATATCCTGAGATTTTTTAAAATATTAAACTCTTTTTACTTAAAAAAAAGAAAAAAATAATAAGAAATATGACACGATCAGTAGCATTTAAAGAAAAAAACAGGAACGAAGCTAAAAATTCGTAATATTTCGTAAAAAAAATTGAGTATTGGGACTTGTTAAAAATAAAGACATTAGTTCTAGTTATACTTACTTCACTTTTCGTAAAATAAATATCACAATCGCAACTTTACATACGCAGTTTTCAAAACAAAACTTTACGTATACACTAAATAGTTTTTATATTTCTATGAGTTTGAATAAGAAAGTAGAATCATTTTTTAATTTCGAATTTGACTGCCATAAATTGTCATTTAAAATTTTTCTAATCTTTTAAATAGACGAGACAAAATTAATTTTTTAATAATAAGATTCTTTTTACTTCTTAAAATAATTGTTACATAATGTTATATAATAAACTTTTGTTTCTCTTTCTTTATATTTTGAATTCATAAATTTTGCATATTTATTGATTTATTTAAATCCAAATGAAATTTTCTACAGCTCCGGATAGTAAAAATGGACCGTGTGAGTATTTATCTTAATTGAATGAAAGAAAATAACAAAACTTTAATTTTTTTTTCAACGCTATATGTTCACGCTACATCATTTAGACATTTATATATATTTTGTGGTATATATTTTATTTCTTACAACTTTATATAAATTTTTCATTTTCCATGTAATGTAAAAACGCAGATGCTTAACATTTCGTTCAAAATAGTTTTTGTAAATTGTTATTGATTTTGGTCAAATTATTGTGAATTTAAAATGGAAGAATTTTTCATGTCTTTATTTACGTAGTCAAAAAGTATATTTTTTTACAAAGCATATGAAATTGCATTACTTTAAGCAATGTTTTGTTTCCTTTTAGTAAATTTTAATTTACTGAATTGTACAATTCTTATTTAACTGTCTTAAGAATTGTATATTTGATTTGACTATATTTGACACTTCTGCCAAATAGGATTGTACCGTTTATAGAGTTGCAGAATACACATGAAGTAAATAATTAAAAAATCTATCAGTGGCAAATTTTTTTCAATATAAAAATAAAAATCATTAAAAGTTTAACCTCTTCTTGATATAAAACATGAAATAACATAAATTCACAATAATTTGATTAAATGGTTTCATTACATCTTTATGACATACATACATAGATACATGTTTTAATCATCAAAATCACACTTTACAACTTGCATGAGCTTTTTATTTTTTCTAAATTCAAAAGAAAAACATAAATTAATAATCAAAAAGTATTTTTAGTAATCAGATTTCTTTCATCATCAATTAAACTTAAAACAGTTAATATATATTGAGTTGTTTAAGCACATTTCCAGAAAAAGTTTGATAATTTTTGTTAGAAACTAAAAACTAAAAATTTGTTCCTATTATGTACACTTTGTCCGTCTGTTTGCAAAACTTTTAACCCTTGAACAAAGTAAGTTTTCATTTTGTAGAGCAAAAAAAATTTAATTAACATAACATTTCCATGGAATAAACTGTATTTTTCTATCCAACGCAATCTTAATGCTCATAAATTTTTTTTTAAAAATTTTACTTAAAAATTTTTCTTACATTTATAAAACGTTATGGTAATAAGAGAACTTTCATTATTTAGACTTTGCTATAGACATGCTACCTATAATTTGTTAAGAGAACTGTGCGATTTAATAAATCATGGTTCTAATTCTTTATTGTTCAATTTAAGTAATTAATTTATTTCGGCAAGTTATATTATATATAATATACTTGTAATTTATTATATGTATTAATAAATCTGAATCTAAAACTTATCCCAGAAAAAAGTACAAAAGTTAGAAAATGAGCAAAACCAAAAAAAAATGTTGAAAAATGAAAAAATGAATTATGACTGGAAATACCTTAAAGTTTAAATAAATACCATAGCAGCAAATTTCAAAAATACAAAAATGTTTGAAAAAAAAAAATATAAATAAAGTTGGGTCGAACCAATCGTTTGTAATGTACCACTTTTCACTTCATCAAGTGAAAATACTGCTTTTAAGCAAAAATAGTTATGTACTATAAAATTACTTTCATTCATACACGAATATATTTCAAAAATTGCATATAAGGATGAGAAATGTTGAATACATTGAAATAAACCAAAAAAATTTGAAGGAGGCGTTAAAATAATGCTCGAATTTAAGGGTTAATTGCGTGAGTTAAGAAAAACAATTTTATTTTTTAATGACATCGCAAATTTTATTTTTTAATGACATTTTTATAGAAATTCGCAAAAGTTTACAGTTTCGGAAATATAAAGTGTTGAAAATTCGAATTTTACAAATTTCAAAGGCGATAACTTGAGAGGGGACGGAGCTGGAAAAAAAATTTCTTCTAACGAAATGATTCTGTTATTAGTGTCTAAAATCTGCTAAATTTAAAACCTTCCGGTCTAGAAGAAAAACGATGTTAAAAAATTGGAAAAAACGGGTTTTAGGTAACGGTAAATTTTAACAGCCATTTTGGTTTTTTAAAGTTCAAGTATGATATATCGCGGTAGAAGAAGCAAGCCATTATTTTTCTGCGTTTAGAAAATTTGATTTTGATTTGGTCTGCGATTACAAATGCTTATGGTTATGAGGGGCAAGAGAGGTAAGAACTTTCTTCCATGGAAATCAGTTTCTTGTATGAAAGATATATGTACTTATGAAATTTTAGCTTCCTGTCTTCAAGGGTGTAGACGTTTTGTAAAAGGGTACGCAGACGGACGGACGGACCGACGGACGTACAGAGTGAAACTAATAAGCACTTTTTTCAAATTTTTTTTTAAAATTGCTAAAAAAGTAATTTTGATCAACATCAATCTCGAAATGTTATTATCTTAGGTTTTAAACAATTGTAGTATATCGTAAAAGTATTATTTGGTAAAGGTTTTTCTTCTCGGTTAGAAAACGTACAATTCATACTTAATCAATATTATCAGGACCAGAAAAAGGATCACATTCGTTCCCATGTTAAACTTTGTAATTACGATTTTAATATCTCTCAAACATTGCTTGCGGATTTTTTTAATGAAAGTTAGAAAGCGTTTTACTTATTTTTATTAAAACAAAGTCAAGAACGCAACATCGAATTTTTATCAAATTTGAATTAATCAAAAATAATTATTTGTATGAAATAATAATAATTATAAAGTTACCTATGTTAAAAACTAAGTAAATATTTCTTTGTAATGTGATATATCACAATGTCAATGCATGTGTGGATGTCTTTATTTTTCTTTTCTTAGTTTAAACGAAGCACTTTTTCAGTGAACAATGAACACAATAAGAAATATTAATATATATGTAATTGCGCAATTTACAATAATTACAACAAGCAGTTTAAAATCTGTCTTAACTTATTTCATTGCTTTGTAAAGTTTTTCTTTAATATTTATTTTGTTTCCTTTTATTTGATTCGCTTAAAATGCACTTAAGTTTTTTATTTTATGAACTAAAAATAAAATATAAAATTAAAATTTTATTTCATTAATAAAATATAGGTGCAATTTACGTTGTTGATGAACTTGACTATGAGCGTAAACAAAGTTATGAACTTATTATACGTGCGACAGATAGCGTTTCAGGAGTCTCTGCCGAAGTGCCTGTATCGATACTAGTGCAAGATGTTAATGATTGTCCACCGGAAATAGAACAGGATATCTATAATGTTACTGTATCAGAAGGTGCACCATTTGGAACACAAATATTGCGGCTACACGCTCGTGATAATGATACCAATTCAAATGGCATTGTGACATACAGTATACAAACTGATGCCAAACATAACCATTCCGAGTACTTTCACATGGACAGTAATGAAGGCATTATTTATTTAAAAAAACCATTAGATCATGAAACAAGAAGCTTACATCATTTTACAGTTGTTGCTACAGATCAAGGTGTGCCAAGCTTAAGTTCTACAGCACATGTATGGGTAACAGGTATGTTATAAGTAATTTTTTGTATCACATCGTTGTTATATTGGTCAGCCTCACAGAACTTACTTTACATTTTATTTTAATTGTTAACTTACATCAAATTACACATTAATATAAGATGTTTTTGTTCCCTCTTTTATATTACCAAAACCAAATTATTTAAATTATTCAAATTAAAACAATTGCTTTTGTTTATCAAGAAAACCACTAGTAATTGAAACTAGACGGGCTGCACTATATAATTAAAACAAAAATATATAAGTATACCTATTTAATTTAATATTAGCAAAATAGGTATACTTATACAATCCTTTATCAGTACGACTCCTAACACACCTCTTTCTATTAGCAAGGTTCATTATTTTACTAAATTATTGTTCATATTTCTATGCTTTGGAAATACTTGTGTAATATAAAATCCCTTATTTTAAAAAGGTTAAAAAGACAAGAATTATTACCGCCTTGATAAACTTGGAATTCTTTTTCATTGTTTCATTCAGTTCTTTAAATTTTTTTTTTTTTTATTTGTATTGCAAAACTGAATTCTAATTTCCAGTTGCTGATATGAATGATAATGCACCGAAATTTGATCAAGTATCATATAGTTGCGTTTTATCGGAACATGCTAAACGTGGGCAATTTGTTACAATTGTTAAAGCATCGGACCCGGATTATATTGATCATGATAGTTTGATATATAAGATAGCAGAGGGAAATGAACTACAAACATATGACATAGATCAAATAAATGGAATAATAACATTGATAAATATGCAAAACTTTGCTGAACAGCAAATGGCGGTACTGAATGTATCGGTAACTGACGGTGTATACACAACATTCGCTCGTGTCAAAATAAATATATCACCTGGAAATTTACATAGTCCAGTGTTCCCACATTTAGTTTATGACGTTAAAGTTAATGAAAATCAATTAGCTGGTAGACACGTTATAACGGTAGGTTAATTAGAAGTAAATACATATATGTATACATTTAAAAAAAGTTATATCAACACAATGATTCCATTGATTTATTTTATTTTTTTTATTTTATTATGTGTTTTACTTCTAATTTATTTTACGTTAGGTTACTGCAACTGATGCAGATTTTGGTGAATACGGTGTGATATCATACGAAATTTTTTCCGATGAAATGAAGGAATACTTTACAATAGACAAAGACAAAGGCGTTGTTGAAGCCAAAATTTCTTTAGACCGTGAAGAGAAAAGGTCTTATGAAATTCCAATTATTGCCACTGATTTTGGTGGCAAATCTGGTTTTACAACAATAAAAGTTAAAGTTGGGGACGAAAATGATAATCAACCCGATTTTGTCTATAAAGAATATAAAGCTGTTGTTAATATTAATCAACAAATTAATGCAACAATAATAAAGGTGAGAATAATTTTTTTTTATTATGTATTTTTCATAAAGAAAATATTTCAGGTAATGGCTGTCGATTTAGATGATAATCAGAACAGTGTAATAAGATATTCAATATATGATTCTCAAAATTCTGGTATTCAAAATTTATTTGCAATTAATGAAAACTCAGGGGAATTATTTTTTCATAAATCATTGGAAAAGTCACTTATCAATCAAATGTTTGAATTTTTTATAAGAGCAAATGATGGTGGAAAGCCTTCTTTGCATTCTGATGTTCCTATAAGTATATTAATAGTTGGCGATCAAGAACAACTACCAGCGTTTGAAAAGAAAGATCGAGTTTTATTCATATCAGAAACATCACCACCTGGAACTGTGATAACTAGAGTAAGATTAACTACAAATATTAGTGCTACATTTAAAATAATATCCGGTGATTCTGACGATCCACAATTTTCGATTGATGAACGCGGCGAGCTTATGCTGGCCAAAACTTTAGATCGTGAGCAAAAAGATGTTCATATAATTGGTGTTTTAGCTGAGACAACCAACGGAAAACCTCCATATACTGCAATATCGGAAATTGTGCTGCATGTTCAAGACGAAAATGATAATGCTCCAATATTTGATAGCAATCCCTACAATTTGATATTAGCTGAAAATGTCGACAAAGGCACATCAATCATGAAAATTACTGCTCGTGACGCTGATAGTGGTTCAAATGGTGATATACGATACTACTTAGCAGATGATGTAGGTGATTTAGTAAATGTGTTCGATATTGATGTGTATTCTGGCTGGATTACAACTTTAGTACCTTTAGACAAAGAACAAAAGTCGGAATATCGTTTTCAAGTTATAGGCTCTGATCATGGCCAACCGAAACATGCAGGAAAAACAACTGTTGTAATACGTTTGAAAGATTATAATGACAGTCCACCTGTATTTAAGCAATCGAATTATACAACGTCTATTAACGAAGATGCAATTCCAGGGACTGTTTTAGTTCAAGTAGCTACGACAGATGCTGATTTAGACCTAAACACCTTAGTTGAATATTACATAATATCTGGGGATCCGTTATTACAATTTGAAATACGGGAAAGTGGTGAACTTACAATTGTAAAGTCGTTAGACCGCGAATCTGTTGACTCTTATACTTTGGAAATTGTTGCTACTGATGGAAAATTTACATCGAAAACCAAAATTTTTGTTAAAGTTTTAGACGCAAATGATAATCCACCTTATTGTTTAAGATATCGATATAGACAAACTGTAAATGAATCAGTTGTTCCCGGTACTTTCATATTAAAGGTTTTGGCTACAGATGCTGATGAAGATGTAAATATAAAATTAAGATTTTATTTGACTGGGAATGGGTCTAATGATTTTACATTGGATAAAGATTCAGGAATATTAAAAACAGGTAGACAGTTAGATCGGGAAACTATATCAAAATACTCAATAACAGCGCACGTTCAGGATCGTGAGCACTCTCAATGGGAATGCTCTTCACAAATAGAAATTCTAATAAGTGATTTGAATGACAACCCGCCTGAGTTTTCTATGGATCAATATACCGTCACCCTTCCAGAAGACGCTGAAATTAACACGTTAGTTACTAAGGTGCATGCTACCGACAAAGATATTGGTTTGAATAGAAAAATTAGATATTCTTTTATTGATTCTGGCAAAGATCATTTTAAAATATCTCCAGATACAGGAATTATTACGTTGGCCAAATCTTTGGATCGTGAATCTATTGCTATATTCAATTTGTCAATCAAAGCAACGGACCAAGGTTCGCCAAAATTGGAAAATAATGTGAAATTAATTGTAAATGTACAAGACATCAATGATAATCCACCTGAATTTTCAACACGAAACTACTTTGCAACTGTGGCAGAAATAAGTCCAATAAATTTAGAGGTGACAAAAGTTTTGGCGACTTCGCGCGATACTGGAATAAATGCTGAAATATTTTACTCCATAGTAGGAGGGAATGAGCAACGAAAATTTCAAATTGATAGGCGCAGTGGTGTAGTGGCTGTTGCTGGAGAACTTGACTTCGAAAAAACGAAAGATTATTTTCTTACAATACAAGCTGTTGATGGTGGTACCCCACCTTTAAGCAATTTGGCGACATTGAATATTTCCGTAACAGATAGTAATGACAACACTCCGCAATTTTTACAAAATACGTATAGTGCTCGAATAAGAGAAGATGCAGTATCGGGAGATAAAATTTTGCAAGTTCGTGCAATTGACGCAGATTCGGATAACAATGGTCGAATAAGTTATTTTATTGAACGTGGGGATCGTTTTAATCAATTTCAAATTGATGAATCGACTGGTTATATATCTGTTGCCGGTTCTTTAGATCGAGAATCAATTTCAAGTTATGTACTAGAAATTCGAGCCAGTGACAATGGCGTTCCAGCTTTATCAAATTTTGTTCACGTAAATATTGAAATATCTGACGCAAATGACAACCCTCCTTTGTTTTCAAGGTCGAATTATTCGGTTGTTGTGCAAGAAGATAAGCATCTCGGCCATGTCTTATTAAAATTCGAAATAAGTGATGCTGATATGAATCCAAATGCAGCTCCATACACTTTTGACTTTAGAAGTGGTAATGATGGAGGTTCATTTCGTCTTGAGCAGGATGGAACACTAAGAACTGCAACGAGATTTAATCATAAAGTTCGAAATTCTTATACATTGCAAATTCGAGTATTTGATAATGGAACACCACCATTATATTCAGATGCATGGGTTAATGTTAAAGTAATAGAAGAAAGTCAATATCCGCCCGTTATAACGCCGTTAGATATATTAGTAAACTCATTTCAAGATGAGTTTCCTGGTGGAATTATTGGAAAAATATTTGCTTCAGATCAAGACCAATATGACACACTATTATATGATTTGGCTCCAACAGCTGGGGTTTTGTACTCTCCCAATAACCTTTTCAATATTTCGAGAGAAGATGGAACGTTACATGCTCTACCAAATTTAGATGTTGGGGATTATAGAGTTAATGTTACAGTTAGTGACGGCAAATTTTTGAGTTTTGCGATTTTAAAAATAACTGTTGAACTTATAACTCCCGAAATGCTTGAAAATGCGGTGATTTTACGTTTTAGTAAAGTTTCACCAGAAGATTTCATTTTAAGTCACCGTAAAGGATTTATTAGATCTATTAGAACAGCAATGAGATCAAGACAAAAAGATGTTGTAATTATATCTGTTCAACCAGCTACTGATGACATAAATATGATTTCAACAAAATCACGTATTTCCAGATCATTGTTGAAAAATGAAACGTTATTTATCGCTTTATCGAAACGTTCATATCGCTTTAAAAGAAGTATCAAGAACGACCTCGACATTGTTTTTACAGTACGGAAACAACAATTAAATCCGAGTCAAGAGGGATATTATACAAGCAAAGAAATAACAGCCGCAATTACTGACAGTCTTGAAGAAATCGAAGAAGCAACAAATTTAATAGTTGAAGAAATTGTTAAAACGAAATGTAATCAGAGAAAATGTGCTAATGGATTCTGTAAAGATAAAATTATTTTAGATAAAAAGAATATAAATTCAATTGCTACAGATGTGACTAGTTTTGTATCAGCTAGATACCGCCATATTGATGACTGCGAATGTAAACAAGGATATGGTGGAGAATATTGCGACACCATAGTTAATGCATGTGCAAATAATCCTTGTCCCCCATTTAAAAACTGTGTTCCCGAAACAAATTTGGATGGATTCAAATGTTTATGTCCTGAAGGTTTTACTGGCCCGACATGTGACCGCGATGTTAAGAAGTGTACAGATGACACTTGTTATATGCCAGTTAACCCAGTCTCATTTTCTGGTAAAAGTTATGCTCAATATAAAATTGATAAAGCGGTAGCAAAAAAGAATTTGGAAGATCAATTGATATTTACCTTACGTGTTAGAACTGTTCAACAGACTGGAAATTTAATGTATGCAGCTGGAAAAATCGACTATAATATATTGGAAATCGTCAATGGAGTGGTACAGTACAGATTTGATTTGGGCTCTGGCGAAGGTTTAATAAGTGTTTCAAGCATTCATGTTACGGATGGAGAATGGCATGAAATAAAATTGGAAAGAGAGCGCAACAGTGCAAGATTGATGGTTGACGGAAAGCATGTAGCCCAAGGAAATGCTCCTGGTGTTAATGGAATATTAAACTTACAATCAAATGAGTTCTTCTTGGGCGCTGAAGTGCGACCTCATCCATCTGTTCTGGGCTTTGAAGATGTACAACGCGGTTTCATTGGTTGTATGGACGATATTAAAATGTCAAGAGAAGCAGTTCCTTTGCATATGACTGGTAGCAGTACGGTTGCCGTATTAAAAAGATTTGCGAATGTTGAATTTACATGTGATGCAGCCACAGTTTTAGTACCTTTAGGAATTTGTGGTACACAACCTTGTTTCAACGGTGGAGTTTGCAAAGATAACGGTTATGGCAATTTTGAGTGTCAATGTCATCCCCGATTTTCAGGACGCTTTTGTAAGGACGATTTAGATCCATGTGCTTCCTCTCCTTGTTTATTTGGTGGAAAATGCCAATCTGAAGGAAATTCGAACTATTCATGTGAATGCCCGCCACGAATGACAGGAAAACGTTGTGAGTTTGGAAGATTCTGTTCACCAAATCCATGTCGCAACGGAGGAGTTTGTGAAGAAGGCGATAATGGACCTCTATGCTTATGCCGTGGATACAAGGGCTTAACATGCGAAGTTGATGTCGACGAGTGTGAAAATCAGCCTTGCGGTAATGGTGCTACTTGCATTAACGAAGCCGGTAGCTTTCGTTGTATATGTCCTCCGGATTTAACTGGTGCAAGTTGTGGTGATCCTTTATATTCAAACTCAATAACAACCCGATTAAGAAATATGCCATTAGAACAAGTTATTGGAATTGCTGGAGGAGCTTTGGGTATTGTATTTTTAATTATAACCGGTGTGTTTTGTATTGTTTGTAGCCGTAAAGCATCCTCACATCATTCGAGAAACATAAATAATGATACCAAAAAAGATGTTACTCTAAATTCGGTTTCACCTAGAGAGGAATACAAAAGAAGCTCAAAAATGAGTAATTTGGAAATAATACAAAGACCATTAAGTTATACACCCGCGTCCAATAATGATCAAAATTATCAATGCAACAACACGGTTTTTGTTAACAATTTGGATACACTTAGAAGTTATGGTTCAGCAGGCGATGAGCTTGAGAATGTGCCACCAGAATATCAGAAACTAAACAGAGTGAATCAGCAAGTTAACATTAACGGACATAACAGTGATAACGAATCTTTGTTAAAGCAAACTTGGTGTGATCAAATGCAGTTAAAAACTTTCACAGACAACAAACTTAACAATGGTAAAACCATATTCCAAAACCAATAACATACAATGTTTTAAACAAATCTGTATTTTTCATATTATTTTTAGAGCGGAAATTACCAGACAATCAGAACGCCAGATTGGCTACTTTGAAAGCTACTGGAATCATACAGGGCAGACTTTTAAATGTTCCAATGCCAAATTTAAACCATTCTCCAAATGGACTGGAAGATCCCTCAAATATACACGGTCAATATCATTGGGACTGTTCAGATTGGGCTAGAAGAAGTCAAAACCCATTACCAGATATTACAGAAGTACCTGGAAGTGAAGTTCCAGATTCGTCCAGTTTCCATAGTAATGAGAGTAACGAGTCGCATCCTAAGCATACACCCTTGCCAACAAGTAATATATATTTTTGAATTTGTCTAGTTGTCTGATTATATCATACTATATATGTATGTATGTATATGTAAAATTGTATGATATTAATTGTTTATTTCATTTTGAACGTGACCTAAAACTATTTCAAATAAATGAAATGGAAATTTGCTTTGGATATAAAAGAGTTTTAAAATAATAAATGGACTTAAGTCACTTCAAAATAAACCATCCAATTATTAAACGATTATCAATATTTATTTCATTATCTGCTTAAAATGGAATAAATTTCTTTAGTTTTAGGACCTGTTGATCCTAGTCGTGATATTGAAACTCTAAACGAAGAGGCTGAATCAGAGTTTATTGGAGAATCCGAATCTGAAAACAGTAGAAAGCAATTATCAGTGTCATTTCAAAATACATCTATTCCTATTTTGAATCCTTTAGACAGCGGAAGTGACGATTATAGATTTAGCACAGGTAAATTAAATTATCAAACATTTTCTTGACATTTTTTGTAAACATTTTACAAATTTGAATATTCTTAATGCTTCCACATCAAAAAAAAATAGTGCCTTTAGTTGTAAATAATAACAGTAAGTAATATAAAATTTATTTATTACATTTAATAACAAAAAGTTATATATGTATAATTTTTCTATTCAAAAAATAGCATAAAATTTAAAAAATGTTTTAGGTGATAATTACTTACGTCATCCAAATAGTTACCTACCCCGTTATAATATACAAAGTGAGACCGATGCTGAAAATGGAACAACATTAGCTAGTAGTAAATTATTAAATAGCTTAGAATTAGAATCCCATCAGATTGTGGAAACAGATGACGAAGATGATGATGTTGAAGTGTATGGTTTTCCTAAACATCGCAATAGGCGTAATGGCAATGAAATTGATTTATTAGTTAAAAATGAAGGTAATTTTTTACTTCCATTGACATAAAATAAATTTTGTTTAATTTCGTTTTCAATAATTTTAAAGGTTTACTCGAAAGCAGTTCGCTATTAGCAAAATCTTCAGTGGTAGGTGGAAACGATCAATTACAAAAATCTCACTTACATCATCATCATCACCACCATCATCAGCATCCGCACCAGCATCATAAACGACATAATGAATCCAATAGTGATTTATCGACGCAATTGTGCGAAATTGAAGATTCCGAATTTGATGATGATTTAATTTCAAATACATCAACAAAAGGAATAAAAACAACTGCATCACAACCGGATGTTGTTAAAAAATCCGTGAAATGGACTAATAGTGTTCATCAAACAGAAGTTTGACAAAAGCGATTTAGTTATAACCTAATATATGCAAGATAGCAATCAAAGATGTTTTATACTTTAAAGAATTATTTATACAGCATTATACAATTTTTTACTTTATTTTTTTTTTATTTGAACGACGCATTTTTTATTTTTATATATTATGTTTAACTAACAAAAAATTTATTTATTAATTTTAGATATTATATTATACATACATACATGTCTTTTTTAAGTTAGAATTTAATAAAAATTATATACTTAGATTGAGTAAATCAATTAACTGTCTTATTTTAAAAAATGCAGATTTAGTTTCAGCTATTTAAATTAAAGCATAAAAATTAAACATAAAATCATACAAAAAAAAATTATTTATTAGACGTAATTTCAATGTGCATTTATTTACATTCTAAATTTAAATATACTGTAAAAATTTTTTTAATTCTCAATTGAAGTAACGGCACAATTCACTTTTTTTTGACTAACTAAAAAGTAAACAATTAAAAAATTAAGTAAAAGAAAATTGATCATACTTAAAAACTATATAGCATTAGGGAAATTTTGTAAATAAAAACTAAAAATCTTAAAAAAAAGTGTACGTAAATTATTTCAAAAATTAAAAAAAAAAAAGAAAAACATTAAACATAATTACAAACTTTATTATAATTATAAAGCGACTGAAAAACAATTGTATTTCATTTCATAAAATTCTTGAAAACAAAATTTAACTATATGTATACAAAATTATTTACACGTATTTTTACAAAATATGTTATATTTTCGTTATATTCTAATTCAATCAAATATGTTTGAAGAAAGTTAAAAATTTTGTTGTATTTCTAAAATAATCAAATCACATTAAAATAAATTTCGTTTTTACCTACACCGTTGTATCATTCTTATCATATTTTGTGTAGTATCAAATACATAAAGATTTATATACATAGCTTCAAATTTTTTCTATTCTGACTGAGAAAATTGTTACAATTAACAACATTCTTTTTTATTATAAATAAAATTTAAGATCTACAAGAGATATTTAGTAAGAGATATGTATAATAATCAATAATGCAAAAATTGCTATAACTTAATTTCAAATTACATGGATATGTATTTTTATACATATACTTTTGGGTAACATATAATATATAATATGTACATTTATAAATAAAACAAAACGTTAATTGAAAATTAAATAAAAATAAATAAACAAATTGTTAAAATATACCTACTTAATTCTAAATATTTTCAAGAATTTTAATTTTTAATTATAAAAAACAAAATTTAAAAAATATATAATAATGTGCTTCTGCGTTCATACGGTATTGAAATAATCCTTGCTTTTTAAAATCACTTCTGATAGTCACATATTTTAATAACCGTTATACATATACGAAATTTACAGTTTTTTTTTCAATTCAATTAATAGAATATAAAAAAAAACCTTTAAAAAAAAGTTGTAAGGTATCAAAGTTATTATTCAATGTCATAGTCTAAAACAGAGTGATCGAACACACTTTTCTAGTATGAAATAAGCAATTTCATATTCAACTTTAAAAATAGAATTTAGATGGACTTGGAAGCTCCAAAGTAATAGCAATATGAAACTTTGTTTGAATATAAAATATTTATATTTTATAAAATTTTCCACACGGTAATACATTTAGGTGGTGTAACTTGAAGAGTGAATGAAGTAAAATATATTTAACTTCTTAATGTACCAAATATCGCATGTCTTCATATATATTTCTGGTTTTTCTTTTTTCAAATATTAAAATGTACTACTATTAACATATTGTTGTTGAAAATTTATATAACATAATGTTTCAATGCTTTTACTTAAAGTAACGAAATTATTTTTTATGGTGTACAATTATTTTAAACAGTTTTAAGAAAATTCAAGCAATTTTTTTTATTTATAAACATTTTTTTTAGATTAATGCAGATTGTAGGTGCATTAAAAAAATTAACTGGAAGATAAATTTAATATAAACGCAGAAGATTTGATATCTAAATAAAATGATTTAATTTTTACAACTAATTCTTATTTTCAAGAATATAAGATTTTTCTTTAAAGAATTTCAAATATAAAATATTCCAACAAAATTATATTAAAATTATGAACTCTAATTTTAACAATTTATTTATAATTTCTAAAAATAAAATTAATTCTTATAAGACATCTATTTTTCTAAAACAAAATATTTTATATGAATATATCACAAAATATAACATTAAAATTAGGTTTTTTAGGTAAAAAAACAAAAAAACGTTGTATTATAAAATTGTAAAAAAAAATAACAAAAGTATAAAATAATATAATGAAACATTTCATTCTATATAATGTACAATGTTTAGGAACGTTTTTAATATTAAAATTAAGTACATAAATAAAAATGCAAAATAGTAAATAAAAAATAAAAATAAATTTTTGAAATTAAGTGAATAGAATCTTTTTTATATAAGTTAAAAAGTATATATACATATATACAAATAGGAAAAATAGGTTTTTTTATTTAAACAAAAAAAAAGAAAAACATATCCAAATTGTTAGTAAAAATAAATAAAGAATATAAAAAACAATAATAAATTTTCTTTTATTACTGGCTAAAAAGTAAATTTGTTCGTTTCAGCACAGAATGTGAGTAATTTGATCAATTTCTAAATATTTTACTAAAAATGTTCATTAAAAGTTGCAAGTACATTATATTATATATCAATTTTAGCATGATTGAAATACAATTTAGGCAAAATTACATTAATTAGCTTAACTAAAAATTGTTAAATTTTAATTGACAAATTCAAGCCCAAACAAAACTTAAAATGTTGATAAGCTATCTCCCACGTTTCGGCAGTCGTATCGCATGCAAATATCGCATGAAGTGATGTTATTATGTTTATGTATAATTCTAGCAATCGTAAACATAATAATTAAACGTCGTACCAATCTTGAAGTGATGACAAATGTCAAAATCTTAACACGAGCTCTTTCTGTAACACTTTTCATACGATGAAATAATGATTTTTTATTTGCTTAATATTTACATTTGGTGGACCATTACGTCAGGGTTTTCCTAGGTTAAGACCCTTATTATGATCGGCGAAGCGAATGAAATTTTTGGCGAATATGAATTTTTGGTATTATGATTAGCGAATTCGGCTAAATTTTAGGCGTATGTGCTGTCAAATCTGTCGAATGAAAATTCTGTGCGACAAGTTTGGCGAATGAAACCAAAAATCAAAAAAATGCATAAGTGTTTTTTTTATTGGATATTATAACATTTATAGTGATATAATGGAAAAATCTAAACTATCCTTAAAGTAAGTTCATAGAATTCTAAAATTATCAAATTATTGTAAAAAACAATTGATTCTATGTTTCTTGTTTTTGAAAAGTGTTTTTCAGTTATTTTTATAATAAAAAAAGTCATTTCGTTCTATTTTTGATGTTTCGTAGATAAATTTAGTACTGTAGTAGTGTTTAAAATCAGCTTGTGGATCGCGAATTTCATCAAAACAAATCCTCAATATATATCTTTCCACTTTTCTTATCTTTCCCATATTTCCAGTGCTTTTGTTGTACAAAATTTGTGCTCCATGTGTCATTACCGGTCAAATTAGTGATTTTTAAGCTATTATTTTTACTTTTGGTAAAAAGTAAAAATAATAGGTGCTTTGTATAACCGTTTGTCAATATTTTCAATCTTGTGTCCGCTAAAGCAATATCTAATAAAGTTGGGTCAGACCAATGGTTTGTATTGTAACACTTTTCCCTTGAACAGGTGAAAATATTGCTTTTAAATACAGTCTATGTATACCTACCACATTATTAAAATTATTTTCATTCATATACGAAACTATTTCTAGACTTGCATATATTTAGGATGTATCAATTTTAAAGGTTAATTGCTTGAGTTAAGAAAAATAATTATATTTTTTAATGTCATGGAATTTACCCTCAGCTTTTTGCGTTTATAGAAATTTGAAAAAGCTTGCGGTTTCGGAAAGATAAGGCGTCAAAAATTCACTTAGTGAATTCACTGCTTATTAGTTTCACTCTGTCCGTCCGTTCGTCAGTGGACATGTTTAGAAAACTTCTACACCCTTGAAGATAGAAAGCTGAAATTTAATACGTACATAGATCTTTACTAGAAATTTATTACCGTAGAACAAAATTTTTACCTATCTTCCTCCCACTACAAGTTATACCCCACAAAACCCTAAAAATACCATTTTTTAACTATTTATTGCAGTAAAACCATAAGCATTTTTTTAAATTTTACAAAAATAAGCAAAATTTTTTATGTCGTTTTTCTTCAAGTCCCCAAATTGTAGCACCCTGAAATTTTAGCAACTTTTAGACACTAATAAATAGTTTATTTTGTTAGAAGAAAATTTTTTTCCATCTTCAATCCCTCTCAAGTTATCGTCTCTTGAAATTTGTAAAATTTAAATTTTTGACGCCTTTAATTTCCGAAACCGCAAGCTTTTTCAAATTTTTATAAACGCAAAAAGCTAATGGTAAATTCAATTAAAAAATATAATTATTTTTCTTAACTCACGCAATTAACCCTTGAAATCGAGCATTGTGTTAACCGCTCTTTAAATTAATTTTGGCTTTATTTCAAAGACTGCATAAATCGTTCAATCTAAATATACATATACAATCCTAGAAATAGTTTCATATATCAATGAAAATAATTTTAATAGTGTGCTACGTATACATAAACTGTTTTTAAAAAGCAGTATTTTCACTTGTTGAAGGGAAAAATTCTATAATACAAACCATTGGTTTGACTCAATTTTATTGTTTTCTAATTCCAACTCATGTAAAATGTTTTGTAGGTCTTTTTTAAATTCATTTCTATCACTATTAGCTGAGTATACTAATACAATATATAAACTCTCACTTACATTAATCTTTGAGTTAATTGCCGATATTTCTTTACTATTATTCTTAGAAAATGTTCTCTTGATTTCTTCATGTTTTATATCATCTCTAATCAAAGTAGCAGTTCCACGAGCTCTCTTGCAATTTCTTCTGTCATTTCGAATTAAAATATAACCCTTGAAGTATAGTTCAATTTGGTTTCATTTACTAACATAATATCTGGTTGATATTCTTCTAAAAATAAGATTAAACTATTCTTTTTTGGTGAGCGATTAAAGAGTTTACGTTTTATACTACTTATTAAAGAAATTATTTTTATACTACTTATTTCAATTTTTTTATTTTGCTTTTTCAATTTTTTTATTTAATATGCTTAATCTATTACGAGCATTACCAACTCAGTCCATGTAGTAGGAGTATGTTGTAGATTTTCCCTTTTGTTCTGCTGCACCACGCTTGTAATTGCTACATATGTATATTGTTTTTGGTTTCTGCTTACATTCGGAGTCCTTTGTGAAGTTTTTGATCTAACGAAAAGTTCTTTATATTTATCACACCCTCTGTATGATGGTGATGGTGTACATAACTCACATTTTAATTTATATTTAGTATTTTCGGATCTCGCATTTCTCAGGCTCATGGTTTGTTCCATATTTTACACATCTAATACTAACAGTCAATTAATTACAATTTACCGCTGCTTGTCCAAATCGTTGGCTTTTTGTACATTGAAACATAGATTTCTTTACAAATTTTTCCCATGTGAATTATTTCCAGTGTTTTCTATGTGTTTTATTTTCTTTACATATGTAATTTATTTTAGTACCTTTCAGGTGAAATTTGTACTACAAATAATGACGTATTACATTGATTTTGTTTCGAATGTTTTGTAACAAAACGTTTAACACTTTCAAACTTAATTTCGAGTATATTCATTCCGTTCAATGTTTCCAAGATTTTGGACCGTTGGATTCTGCATCTAATCCTCTTATTATTGTTTTATTTTTCATTTCAGCAGGTCTAAATGTGAAATAATCTTTTTTGAGTTCTGTTAGCTTAATATTTATTAATACAGCTTAATAATTGGTGTAATTTTTAGTGTAAATAACAAATTTATTTTTATTATTTTTTTTTTATTTTGAAATCATTTGTGGATATTTTTTTTAATTTGAATTGTAATTAAATTAATTTGACTTTTACACACATAAATTGGTGATATTTTGTTTTTGCTTTTCATTATTCATGTGTTCATGACTGATTCTATTATTATGGTTATTATTATCGCTTTAATTTTTGTTTACTTCTACGTAATTTTGATCTTCATTTAAATCATCATCATAAAATGATGAATATTTTCACAATCTTCATAACATGTGTTTTTTTAATTGCTTGGTACATTATTGTTTTGAAACTAATTCACTTAATCTTAATATTCTGCTCTTAACAGTTTTGTCTCTGGTTGAGAATCTTCTTTTTTTTATTTCGCATGGTAGCAACAATATTATCACTGTTCAAATTAGCAACAATATTATTCTTTAATTTTTTTACATCATGTTTTCTCATAAAATTTTTTTTATTTCCTTTGTTTTTATCTTTTTTTTGTTTAATTAATAATTTAATTGTTAATCTCTTAAAATTTTTTTTAAATATTTAGAACTAATATTTAATATAATATAATTTTTAATTTTAACTTTTACTCAGAAGATACTCTTAACGATGTGTTTACCATGAGATGTCGATCGCAACTCATATATCAGCATTGTCCACCATTAATTTTTTAGAAGCCCGAATTGCTCATATTTGTTATTTTTTTTTTGTTCTGGAAGTAACAAAAATACCGATTATCAATATAATAAAGTTGGGTGAAACCAATGGTTTGTATTGTAGCATCTCTTCAAAAAGTGAAAATACTACTTTTAAACAGTTACAGTCTATGTACACCTAGCACACTATTAAAAATATTTTCATTCCTATACGAAACTATTTCTAGGATTGTATATAGCATATTTATGATGAACGATTTATGCAGCCTTTGAAATAAAGTAAAAATTAATTTAAAGAGGGTTTAACACAATGCTCGATTTCAAGGGTTAATTGCGTGAGTTAAGAAAAATAATTATATTTTTTATTAGCATAGAATTTACCGTTACCTTTCTGCGTTTATAGAAATTTGGTAAAGTTTACCGGTTTCGGAAATATAAGGCGTCAAAAATTCAAATTTCATAAATTTCAGGGTGCGATAACCTTGAAGAAAAAAAGCTAAAATTTCATAATATCAGAAATTTAATTCCGTTGAAGAGCCATTTTAACGAAACCGTAAATATGCTTGCATTTTTTACAGTAGCACAGCATAACTGAGTTTTAAAAAGAAATATCTGCTAGAATTAACCGTTACCTAAAGCCCGTTCCTTTTCAAATTTTTGATATTAGTTTTCT